GATGTCCTCTCTTCTAGCATTTAGAGGAGTGAGGTCTTCGTCTGAAACCAAAGGTCACCGAGGTGGCTGGTTTGCTCCTTCTTCTGTCCATAAGCTTCTTCTCGGGCCCTTCCTTTTTCTATAGCGTCTCTAGTTCTCTTTTACATGTTACTATATTCTCCTTTTACATAACACTCGGCCTGAGTGATTATCTCGTCCATGCTAATAGTCGGTTTTTGGGCCAATGACTCATGAATTGGCCAGCTCGGAGATCGTGCTAGAAAGCTGCCACGAATATCTCCTGATTATGATGAGATCCATTTATGGTTTCCTCATTGAACCGGTCCATGTAATCCCTCGGGGATTCTGACTAGAGCTGACGAACATTAAGCAACATTATTATCGACACCTTTCGGTGCTGGCTTGCCAAAAACTGCTGAACCATCTTCTTAGAGAAGTCCTGGTAGCTGATAACAGAGTGCCTGTGAAGGCTCATGTACCACCTCATAGTGTTTTCCTTGAAGGTGCCATCCATAAGCTTTCACTTCAGAGAATGGTTAGCCCCGATTATTCCTATCATATTATTAACAACAATGGTGTGCTCATGGGGATCAGATTTGCTATTGTATGTTGTAAATGTCAGAGGTTTGAGATTCTCTAGAACCCGATCGTCCCAGATAGCCTGGGATAATGAATGAGGCTCCAAAAGCTCAAGCCCCTGGTCGCCATCGTTCTGGATCTTCAACTATAGGACCTGGACGTTGCCATGTAGTGTATTGTTCTATTGGCGAAGATCCTCGATCATGGCCAATAATTGTGCCATGCCTGGAGGGGGATGCTCATCAGAAGCCATTGTTCAAAGGTGTGTGGATAATGAGGCCTGGGAAAGTTTTACCAGGACCCCACGGTGAGCGTCAACTATTCTTGCTAAACACTAAATGGGTGACTTCCTCGCTAGTTGAAGGGTATCGAGGAGATCCTCAAGCAAGTGGGAGTGAATTGTTTATGATATTAAGGGATTTGGGGGGTCACACAAGTATGCGTGAGCTCCAAGCAACGTGTCTTGCTTACCCCTCAGTCGGGAGCCCTATATATAGAGGTATCTGGACCTTATTGATAATTGCATGTAACTATTGTGACTCTTCATTATACGTAACTGAGTTTCCATTTAAGGCAAGAAACGTCTGCCGTTGCCAATGATGGTTGTTATCATAACACGCGACTCTGTGTATTGATAAGCGGTTACACCCTTAATGGGCCAATCATTCCATAATGACCTCATCAAGGTCGGGCTCTATGTAACCCCTAGATCTGGGGATAATCCCGACTAGCGCTCTTAATCTTTCTCGATGGTCGACCACATATGTCGTCGACTATGCAACCCGACTCAGGCATGATGATCTACAGCTGAGGTATTACCCGGCTAAGCATTTATTTGTCCTCATTCGCCTTATATCCATATCTTTCCTTTTTATCTCTTCTGGCCCACACAACGGATCTATGCATGAACAATATTTGTAGATCACACAGTAAACACACCCATTTACAATCTACACACTTAATCACTACCATTTGCTTAACTTCTACCTAAGTCACACCTAGGTATGAGGCCCTCCTCAAATCCCTCTTCAATTACACTCAGCAATTGGAGCAACTCTAAACACAAATAGAGAACAAAACTAGAAGTCACTATTCCAAGACACACAATCCTCAATGCTTAAAAGCTTATGAGAACTGACACAGAAATACTTAATGCTTAACAATTTATAAGCATGTGACACACATTTTTCAATGGTTAAAAGCTTATGAACATCTGAAAGAACTTACAACATAATAAGGATTCTAAAAACCCTAACAAAATACACATGTAAGTTTAACCTAATACTAGGTATACACCAGTCTATTTATAACATTATTCAGGATTGGGTTAGGTTTCAAATCACAGCAGTGAGGATGCACAAAGTCTGCACAAACTTCTCCAAGAAAATAGGTCTTCAATTATAAGTTTCCTAAAATATCTCCATCTTTAGAAACTTTGCATATCTTCGAAAATCAACATAGAATCTTTGATTTGTCAATCTTGGACACCATGTAAGCTAACTAAATATTCCCTGAATATTTAGTAACTAACATATATCAGTTGAATTATAACTGTTAGCTACTGCAGATGCGATGTCCTATCCTCCTGGTTGGAACATCTTATGCGACATGTTGAAAACTGAAAGTTGGAACATCTTGTTCAACATATTGCTGGCAAGTTGGTTTTTACCAAAATGTATTCCAATCGTAATTTCAGAGAAATAAAAATCTCCCCCTTTGACACATTTTGGCTAAAACACCCAATAACCCTTGCACAATAAACATCATAAAGTATGCTTGAAAATAAATCAAACACACACACATCAAAGGTACGGTAGCAGAAAAATAGAAGAAAGGTTAGCAGCACACAAATTAGCAACACACAAATCTGAGACACAATTAGTATTTAGTTGATCTACTAACACAACTGCAACAACAAATAGAGAACCTAAGTTCTCAACACCATGTTGTCAAGACATCATTTCTGACATCTTTTCGGAATAACTCAATCCAAAGCAACAGAGACTCCCGTTCAACACCTACTATCTCAACTCAACAAAGAGTCATAAACTCTCTCCCTCAGCAGTAGTATCAGCTAGTACCAGTTCCAGCACCCTCAATATTATATTAATCCCCCTTTTATCCATAATATGACAAAGGCAAGTAGACAATATTAGCAAAATAAATTTAAGCACCTAAAGTTTAAGTATCAGGGTGCAAAAACTAAAAATATCATGGGCATTTAACCCTTACAAAATCATAAACCAAAATAAACAGACTCATAAGGCAGATCTAAACAAAATCCCATGACCAATTATCATGCATTAGCATCTTATTTTTCTCTAATATAAATGGCATAATGTTCATCAGGTGCAGCACCATCCTTAACATCCTCATCGACAGATGCAACACTAACAGTAATTGCTATAATTCTTCATAGATGTAGATCCCAAGTATCCTCCTTAGGTTCTCAAATTGAGTTGCATCAAGAGCTTTTGTAAAGGTATCAGCAAGTTGATTCCCAGTGCTGACATGCTCAAGCTTTATGACTTTGCCCTCTACAAGTTCTCTAATGAAGTGGTGCCTGGTGTCAATGTGCTTGCTCCTACTATGTTGAATAGGATTTTTGAAAATATTAATAGCACTCAAATTGTCACAAAATAATGTCATAACATCTTGTGTAACATTATACTCAGACATCATTTTCTTCATCCACACCAGTTGAGAGCAGTTACTTCATGCTGCTATGTACTCAGTTTCAGCCATAGATAGAGAAACATAATTATGTTTCTTACTGAACCAAGAAATAAAATTTTTCCCATAAAGAAACATCCTCCAGAGGTACTCTTCCTATCATCGGCACTTCCAGCCCAATCAACATCCCAAAATCCCACCAGAATGGAATTCGAATCATGAGAATACAACATTCCATAATTACTAGTACCATTGACATACTTCAGAATCCTTTTCACTTGATTGATGTGACTCACCTTAGGTTCTACTCGGTACCCCGCACAAACTCTAACTGCAAAGGTTATATATGGTCAGCTTGCAGTGAGATATAGAAGACTTCCAATCATGCTTCTATACAAACTCTGATCAACACTTACCCCATTTTCATATCTGGATAACTTCAAGTGAGTAGGAGCAGGAGTTCTCTTATGTTTGACATTCTCCAGTCCAAACTTCTTTACAATATTCTTTGCATATTTACTTTGACAAAGAAATATGGAGTCTTCCATCTGCTTGACTTGTAATCCAAGAAAGTGAGTCAATTCACCTACCAAACTCATCTCAAACTCAGACTTCATCTGCTCGACAAAATGTTGAACCATTTCATCTGATTTTTCCCCAAATAAAATATCATCCACATAAAATCTGAGCTATCATAAGTTCTCCATCCTTCTCTTTGACAAAGAGAGTCTTGTCAATTCACCCTTTCTATATCCATGATTGACATGAAATTCAGTCAACATTTCATACCAAGCCCTTAGAGCTTGTTTTAGACCATACAATGTCGTTTTTAGTCTGAACACATGATTTGGGAAAAATGGATCAACAAATCCTTTTGGATGTTCAACATACACCTCTTCATTCAGGTACCCATTTAGAAAAGCACTCTTGACATCCATCTGATACAGTTTGAACCTTAAGTGACAAGCCACTCCAATTAACAACCTGATAGATTCCAAGCGAGCCATAGGAGAAAATGTTTCATCAAAGTCTACTCCCTCAATTTGAGTGTACCCTGTTCTTATACACTCATTTTATTCTAATGATATTTGTCCCTTTAGGTCTTGGTTCAAAATCCCAGACTCCATTTCTCTTGAACTGACCTGTCGTTTTTGAATTGCTTCCCACAAACAAAAATTCAAAAACTATTTATTTTTTTATATAAAATTTCATGAATCTATTCACCAACACCTTTGAATCGATTCAATTAGACAACCTTCTTGAATATATTCAAAATAACTTTTGAATAGCATCATTAAGAGTTGACTTTAGTTAACATTTTATTTTATGCATGTAAATCAAATTTCTTGCATAATCAATGAGAAAACTCAAAAATACGATAAAAATAAAGTACCAAAAACATCCTAACAAATTAAACAGATAACACATATTCAATCTCCTATTTTTAATGCTTGACAAAATTACTCATATAGAGTATTTTGAATTACTCATTTGCATAAACAATACTAATATACGAGACAATAATATGAAATCCCTTCTTTCTTTTGATAATATTAAAAAGGAAGAGGAAAAAAACGCATGATAAAACATTTATATCTTATATTACATATTAACGATTTTATATTTATACAACAATCGTCTAATAAACAATTATCTTATGTACAATAATATAATTTTATTTTTCAATTGTGAATTATATTTTAAGTTCAATTCGTTTGTGATGACCATTTATTTTATACCTAGTAGCATTAATTGACAAAGTTGCAATGTTTCCTAATCTCACCATCATAGCCACTTAACACATCAATAGAACCCATATGAACCATAGCATCTGCAAACTTCTTAGCCCAACTTGCACCATAATTAGCATTATTTACCACAATTCCTTGTGTCGATTGACCACTCAACAACGTTTGATCTGAAGTCAACAAACCACGATGGTTAACCAATCCCTCATAGTACACACTATCCAAACGATTAGGAGTACCAACATCAAGCACCACTAATGGATCGTTGCTACTTGGAGGTACTGGACACTTTGTTTTCAATGATTCAATAAATGATGGATCCATGGAAGGATCTACAGCATTTGTGTTACTAAATGAATACAAACGGTTAGAGAATGAAGAACAATGTGACACACCGATTGAATGTGCTCCCGAGAGTGTAACCATTTCATCAGCTGATAACCCTTTCTGTGCAAAGTTTGCGATGAGTTGATCGGCGTTGAAGAAAGGTGCGGGTAGATTTTTTGGCACTTCGTCTCCGATAGAGACACGGCCGTCTCTTCGCCCTGATGGTACGTCGTAGTTTATAGTACCACCACTGAGCTTGACAACACTGTCTCGTGTTGCCAAGGTAAGAATGTCCGCACACGATACTGTCTGCGGACATTCAGATTCTAGTTGGGCCTTGATCTCGTTGATAAACTCGAAGCCACGTAGGCTTGGATTGTTGATAAAGTTGTCTCTCTCAGCTATATTTCCTGGAGTTGATGCTAGTAACACAGAAGCATCACAACCCTATATATAAAATTGAATATATTAGCAATAACCCTAATATTTGTTAAAACTTATAATATGTTTGAAAATTTTGAACATGAACTTACCCTCACAAAGCAATCATGAAAATGCATTCTGATCAATCCAGCACCTAAGCCAGGGTTTTGTGAAACAGCTTTGTTAACCGAATTTCTCACGATTGTCTCAGCAGATGGACATGTGTAGCCATAGAATCCAACCTGGAGAGATGCTGAAGCCATTGAAGATATTGATAGAAATATCAAAATCAAGCTAGAAACCATTTTATTCATATTGTTGTTATTTGCTAATTGAAAATGTTTGTCGAAAAGAGTTGATAGTTCAAGTATAAAGATAAGAAGACAAGGAAGATATTATTGTATGTTGGTGAAGAGAACTTGTATTGAAGCAATTGTACTTATAGGCTATGAAATTTGTATGAAGGTGGTTTAATTTTGAAGATGTATTGGTCATGAAATAGACGTTTTCTGCGCTTTGAACACTTCTATTTTGGTTCAACTTAGTATATTGGAATAGAGTGATGACATGCATATACCAACTTGAATCTAGTGGGAATATTTATATCTTAGCTATGGTGATTGCTTGTGGAACATATCTAATGAAATTTATTTACAATTATATGGAGGACTTGGTACATATTTCTTGTGGAACTATTCTTGTAAAGAAGAACCAAATATTATTTACACATTGTTAATAAAAATTTATGTTTGACTTATAATTGTTTGGCTACAAAAGACTTAAAACTAAACTGAAAAATTCTTCGAAGAAAACATTAATCCGGCTTAAAATAGTGAAGTTTTTTTTGGAATAATCATGTATTAAAAAAAAATCGCAAATAACCATGTTTCGGAAAAAAATTATGCAAATAACTATGTTTCAGAAGACTCCCCAAGGGAGGAGCCATCTCACTTGGCGCTTACACCTAATTTTTAAGGGGAGGCGCCATCTCACTTGGCGCCTAGGTGTTAAGGGTTTTCCCTAAGCCAAGTGAGATAGCGCCTTAGTGCAATTGGAAGGGAAATTTTCGCGTTTTTTTTTTCAATGCGGTGCGTTACGTATTCGATATAGGATCAACAAAACTGAATTTTTATTTACAAAATACAATTACACACATAACTATTACTTAAAAAACAGATTAATCAGTGGTCCCCTGGAACCCGGTAATGACCTCCGGTTCCGCATCTCCATCCTCGCCTTTCCCGTGCTGAGTTTCGTCGCGTTTCCTGCTGTGGCAGGGTCGATGGCCCAGCGAAGTCAATGCGTCCGGATCCATGAAATCAGTCAGATCTCCATATCTAGAATATCCGTTTTGGTACAGTCGGTTACCCATACCCTCAAAGTTTGATCGTGTTAGCGGTGGGTGGGGTTCCATAGTTGGTCTGTAGCACTAGTCGTCTGAGTACGGGGGGGTAGAAAGGAAATGGATCTTGGGGTGTTTGGTATTGAGGATATTGGGTGGTTTGGTGATATTGTGGTTGATGGTAAGTTGGGTCGGTTGGTTCATAATCTTCGGACAATCCCAGATCAGGGCTAAGGTTGGATGTTGAGGGGCCCATATTGGGATATGCAGAAGACTGAAATTGTGTGCGGGGTATGCGGGTGTGTTGGTATTGTGATTGAAATTGCGGTTGGGTGTAAGGCATATGGGGGTATTGGTACTGAGGTGGTGATTGTGGTTTATTGTGGGGCATGTGGGTGTAATTGTATTGTGGTGGTGACTGTGGTTGGGTGTTGTTGTACCCCAAAATTTGCCCTCCCATATTTTTCAAGAAATTGCCAGGTCAAGCTACAAAATCTCCCTAAGGGTTGCACAGTGCAAGAGCCTCCTAAGCAGTCAAAATTAGGGTTTGTGTTCTGATCAAGAAAATGAAGTTTCCAAAGGTCCAATCAAGTCCCACATGCCTACAAATATGGTCAAGCATCCTCATATCAAGTTTCAAGGCTTTCAGCATAAAATTGCACAGTCAAAACCCTAAATTGCACTACAGTCAACTGTAGGGGCAAAATGGTCATTTGACAGTCAAAAGTTCAAATTTTTGGTCAACATATCATTTTGAAGCCACAAACATCATTTGATCAATGCTTGATCATGATTCTCAAAATTTGGCTCAAAAATCATCAAGATGCAAAAGTTTCCTTATTTGGACAGCTGAAAAAAGTCAACTGTAAATTGACCAGGGCATAACTTTCACATGGATTATCAGAAAAATTTCATCCAAAGCTCATTTTGAAGAGAAAGACATTTCCTACAACTCATCTTCATACTTCAAGTCCAAGAAATGCTCTCACAAAAAGTTATCAATTTCAACATTATAGGTCATTTTCAAAAGTCAACAAAAAGGGACTTTAAGTCAAAGGCCATAACTTGTGATCGGTAAATCAAAATGACATGGGACCAAAGGAATTGGTTAGAGGACTCAAAGACCTTTCCAAAATGTCCAAGAACATGAGAAAAGATTAAAAATTGAGCAAGTTATGCCTTGTGGAAGTTGGGAAATATTTGGATATTTTGAAAAGTCAACATTGATTCAAATGACCTAAAATTGCTAATGGGCCCATTTCTCTTCCATAATTCATCACCCATGGCATGTGCACGACCACTTGGCCCAAAGGGAAGTATTTCTTCATTTTTTATTTATTTATTTGAATTTTTATTTATAATAATTCATTTAAATCAAATTAAATATATGAAAAATGCTTAACCTAATTCTTTCAATCTTTTTGTGCACATTATATCATCAATAATTCGTGCATATTCAAATAGGGAAAGATTTGGAGAGATTGGATATGATTTGTGCAAAAATAGCATGTGAAAAAGATTTGAAAATCATGGTGAAGAAATCAAATATTGAATCCTTTAATTCATGGATCTTTGGACAATTTCGTTGACCTAATTCATTACTACATATACAAGGAACAAAAACCTAGTCCTGATGACCATTGAAGCTGCGCAGAAAACTCTAGACAAACTTGCATTTTTTCCAAAAAAAACTCAATTCTGAAAACTAACTTGCAGGTTGATTCAAGCCTCCAAACGTGTTCCATTAGCTTCTTGGAGGATTATAGGACATAACTGAATCATTCCCCAAGCCCCATACTCAAGAAAACGCAAGATCACCATTAAAGTTGGTAAAGGAAATTTCTGAATCGGTTTCTCTCATACATGCATTGTTAACATATTTTGTTGTTATTTTTGTGTTTATAATGATATTTGCAAACTAATCATGTGCTTTAATTGAAGTTTTACGCGTTATATACCAAAATACCATCATCGTTTTTTAGGGTTTACAGGATTCTGAATTGGGGATTTCTTGGTCCTGTAAAATTAGCAAGCCACAGTACCATGGTCATGATCAGTGTGCTTGGACGAAGAAGAAGCCATATTCGCGCTCAATTTATGAGTGTCCTAGGGCTAATCGCTATTTTTCCAAAACATGCCTAAAAGAACACACAAAAAACGTTTCCTAATGTATTTGTGTTTCAGGGACGAGGAAGAAGATGACCTCGTGGCGTCAACGGATTGGTCAGTTTAAAAATTCGCGCGCAAAGACCCACTAACGTTTTTGTTTCTTTTATAATATTTGCTGTTTGTTTAATATTAACAACGCGTGTAGTAGTTCAGTGGCAAGGCATATGAGCTGGTAACATCCATGACCTGGGTTCGAGCCCCAGGTCTTCATTATCTCCCATATTATTTTTCAATTAATAATCACATGCAGGTTAACGTTGTTGTTCCATGATACACCTTCGTAATCAAGCGTGCCACGTCCATCTCAGAATCAAATCAAAGGCCATGGATTGAAGAACACAATGCACCCCAGTCAACATGCCAGCACGTTGCCTGGAAAAGTCAAACGGACCATGCTAAATGGGCCTGAATTGCTTGGGCTATACCTCCATATTGGGGACTGACACCCCCCTAGGTTTGCTATTTTAAGTATTTTCTTTTGCATTATTTTTATTTTCATTATTCGTTTAATTAATTAATTATTTTCACAAAATATAAAAAACCATAAAAATCAGAAAAGAATTAAAATAATAAATATTTTTATTTCTAGTATTTTTTGTAAATAAATTTGCATGTAAATTAATTAGTTTTAAATTAAGGTAATTTTAATTCTTTTCATAATAAAATCTAAAAAACATAGAATTAGGTTTAATTAATGATTTTCCATCATTTTTATTTTTCTTTCATAAATAATTAAAATAATTAAATATTTATTTTATAATTAAATTTGCATGTAAAAAAAATTAGGGTTAATTTAGGTTAAATTCTAATGTTTTCTTAATAAATTAAAATAAAATAGAATTAGGGTTAGCATTTAATTTCAATTAATTTTTTCTATTAAACCCTAAAATACTAAAAAATACCAAAAACATCTCCTTTTTTAATTAATTAATTCCCCATTAGTCTAATTTTGCAAAAAGGGTCCAACGCCCTCATTTCGATTTAATTCTTTATTCGCATATTTATTTTATTTCGTTTATAATATTTATGTATCTATCCTAAAGCCTTGTAACATTTCAATTTTCTCACACTCTTCTTTTAATTCTTTATTTTCTGTCAAATCGGGTCCTGGTTAATTTTGGCGATGTGGACCCGCGCCTTTTGTAATAGCTTAGATTTTTTATTTCCCGCAATATTTTTAACTGTTAAATCAAAGCATGAAAGAATGTATGGACAAAATAAAAACAAACGCGTAGAACACCAATAACATGACAAGATAAATGCAAATGAAAACGACACACAAATCGCACACACCACCCCTAGGGTACGCCTCACTGTTGCCTTGCCTCGAAAGGTGATCGTCGAGTAGAGGATGTCTTAGTAAGTCCTCATGATCCGGGAACCTGGCATGAGGGTAGCTTCTAAGGTGTCTTCCCATTGCTCTGGTGATCACCATGTCCCGAACCTCGAATTGACCCGAACACCTCCAACGGTGGTGCTACCTACCTCTCAATGGTGGGATGGCACTACCTTAAGGACATTTACACAGCCTAATTCCTTAGGATAGGTAGATGACTCGTAGATACTTGCTCTAATTTCAAAAACAAATTCAAAAATACTTTTCACACCGACACCTTTTCAAAAAGCTTTCGAAAGCAAATTTTCAAACACTCTTGAGGACTGATACAAGAGTCGATCTGAATTTTTTTAAACGAAACTTTTTCAAACTCACTCACATTTGAAAAGCAAACCATTTTTGAAAACACAAGTGAGCAAGTATCTAAGAGCCCATGGATAACCATGGATAGAAAGGGTGCTAACACC